TACCAAACAATATACAAAAAGGAAAAAGCCAAATTATTTAACACTCTTTCCCTAACAGTATGCCCCTTTAAACTCATGCAAAATTGCTAACACACAAAGCAAAATCCATATACACTTCTGAACGACTGCAAACCTGTTTCTAAGTTTAAAACTATCTGACCTTGAGATGCCTTTACATAAAGCCTCACTAGGAAGTTCTAATTGTGCTTTGAGTTCACAGATGCGGGTAAGCCATTTCTCATTAAACTTCCTAGAACTCCACGAACCCCTTTGACATGCATTTTCAAATGTAAATATAAACACTGACTAGCTTGTGAAACTTTGTTCTCCTCTGGAGAAGAATGAATCAAGGATCAACCACAAAAGGAAGCAGTTGGGGTTTTTTCTGATATGGTATATGCTTAATCCCATACAAACCAGAGAATCTACTGTAATTACAGTTTGCGGCCTCTGTTCTTTTGTTCAGTAGAAAAATATCAGGACTTCACTATTAATTCTTAGGTAACATGGGGGAAGGAAAAGGAAATGGTGTCAAAAAAATCCCAAGATGTGTTGAGTCCCTTTTTTATTGAAAGGCAACAAACAAAAGTGAGACATTAAGAGTAGCAAAGATACAGGGGGGGAGGATATCAGTCAGTCTTTTCATGTTCTATTCATTCTAAGGTAATGAAAGTCTTACCTCTGTCCTGCTTTTGCCTTTACTAATACAACCAGACAACAGGCATCACGTATATCCACTTTCAGATTGCCACCTCAAGACTTGACAACCAACCCTAGCACTAATAAAGATGGAATTTTCTGGTCTGAAGTAGACAAGAGAGATGCTTTAAGCCAGAGATATTCAATCCGTGGCCCACATGGAAAAATTCATCCTATGTGCAATCTACTCCTACTGGCTTTTTCCCCAGTAAGAAGTTGCCTGGCGAGATACATAATGACAATACAATACTGAGTGTACTGAATTTATGGAAAAGGTCCAGCCACATTATCAGGTCCTTCTTGCCTTGAAGGCAAGCTGCATGCCCAACACAGGCAAAATGATCTGTTTCCAAAGTGAGTATCTGTAGTAAATGCTGATTTGTAGCATGAACTTTTATCAACTGTTAAATAAAGTCTAATATAGGAAGGCTTAGTAGGTAGAGAAGCACAGCTTTTAAACCTGTCAGCTAAATATAACAGGAACAGCATGGGAAAGGGTGTATTACAAAACTCTAACAAGTTAATCATCATTCTTCTATCAGGTGGTCCAGAGAGTTTGTTGGTAAAAACTACAGATCACCTGTGAAAGCTTCCAGATTTCTGCAACACAAAGAGCTCTGAGATCATCTGCAAAGTACAGCATGTATGAGGAAGCAGTACAGACACAGTCCGGTGGAGCAGACATACAGAATAACCATGTTCTGTTCAGACTGTTCCTTTGCTTAATTAGGACAGTCCAGTCTTACCAACCATAGGGCCCACTCCTTTCTAGAAGTCTCCTCGTATCTTCACATCTCCTCTCACTCTAAGCTTGCCATCTGCTTCCTAAATGAACAACCATATAAAAGCAGAAAAATCTCTTGTCGCTGGGGACTTAAAAATGGTAGGTCAGATGGAATTATGCTTCAAGCTGAATTTAATACTCCACAGGCTCCGAGACTAAACTAACTTAAAGTAGTTATTTAACAGACATGGATATGAACTCTGCTGGTTTAGTAACAGTCAGCACCAATCCTTAAAAACTACTTGTATAAATATTTGTGGAATTAATCCAACCTTAAAACCATTTAGACCTTTTTACTTATACAGCACAGTAGAATTTTCAGCGTACAAGAAGGGCTGCATGATCACACTTCAATCATGTTTCAAGCACAATTCAGACTCGGATATCCTGTAGGATTAGTTTTAATCTACATTTTTTCCACTTACTCCAACATCAGAACAGTCAGTTCTCTTAATTTGTTCGCTCATTTTCTTCCTGTACCTGTCACTGCTCTGCACTTACCAAGAAGTTAAAATTATATATATATATGTTTCAACTATTGGCAGAAAGATAGCAAGTCTAGCAGAACACTAATACATGTATTTTAAGGCTTGTATTACTATACCTATAAAAGTGTTTTAATCACTTATCATTTATATAGAATATAACCTTAAACAAGCAAATATTAAACTTTCAAAAGTAGTTTTCTCATTATTATGCTCTCTTTGTACTCTCTTCCTCCCACCAAACTCTCTGGGGTATATATTCTAAAATTTCACGCATAGCATAAAGTATCTTTAGAATGTTACAGTATAATTGTTTAGAGAAACATTTAATGGATGAGTAAGCATCAAGAGGCCATGGCTAAGGGAAGAGAAAAGTTAAAATGCTAGAAGCCTTCTGAATTGAATGATCTTCTCAGCATGAGGACAGGGATGGACATTTGATCCAAAACTCCGGTATTGACACAAGTGTTTTAACCAGCAGCCAGCATCAAGGCACATGAAGCATCCAACCACCTAAGGGAACATTTGCTACCACCCACCTCCTTCAAACTGGACTTCAGTCACTGTCTCATAAAGCAATCAAACACTGTAGGATATTATTGATCAATAACATGAATATTATGACAGGGGATTACATGATCTTGACAACTGGCTATTTTCTTTGTTTAAATCAGTTACTTGGTTCCTGATTTACAGCGCAAATAAGTTGCATGTGCACAATACAGAAATGCAACTGGAAAAAAAGCCAGGCATTGTGAGACAGCTAAAAAAAGCTGAACATTCTTTCACTACAGGAAACTGCTGGAGACAACATGCTGTAAATTAAAGCCAATTTTCCTGAATTCCCTGAAGGACTGCTCCTCTCAGAGATTCTACAAATCCATTAGCAAAGGCCCATCATTATAGTTTTCTTGGGGCTTATTCACTGAAGAGAGTTTAAAAATAGTACACCCAGAGTAAAACATAGAGTATCTCAGAGGTAGAAGAGTAGGACAAATCAGGCCTAACCTTACAGAATTTATACCCCGATTATCAGAGCACAGCTGAGATAGTTTCTATGCTCCAGTTCCTCCTTCTCCTCCCCATACTTCTTTAAGTCAAGGAAAAGCAAAAATAACAACCACCCTACCTGAATTTCTAATGAGAAGAATGAATACTGAAGCAGGAGAGGTGCCGTATACTGCCATGCCCCGCTCTGGAAATCAAGCTCTTCTTGTAGCCCCAGGTTAGAACTGGGCTTCCTGCAGACTTGTGCCACAGCTGAAGCTTGTCTCATGATTGGGCACCTAAAATCTCTGTGGTGCTTAAGACCATATGACTTGCAGCTGGGGCAGTGTACGCTCTCCTAGCTTCACACTTCCAGAATGTTCAGAAATCTAGTGTCTTTGAGGAACTTCTATTTCTGCATTAAATTTGGTGGAGAACAGGTAACAGGTTTAAGACAATGAATGAGGAATACATGAATAATGGGATTTTATAAATCTCATCTTGTTAATAGCTCCTGGGCTAGTAGTACAAGTTCTGTTATGCAGCCTTCTAGCTCCAAACCCAATCTATCTTCCAAAATTCCTTGTCTATTTGTAAATTGTGTGAATCTAAATCATATGTAAAGATAATGGATTGCACATGCTGCCTGAGTGAGGCTTTAAGAGATATTTGTAGGCACCTAAGATTGCAAGGGACTTCCCAGGTTACTGTATTTGTATCTATCAGAAACACTAGATTAAATAATCTCTTCCAGAAGACATACATTCTCATCTTAGAACAGTTTTCTTTTTGCATATCTCTATTTAAACAATCTCAAAACTAGGACAGTTCTTTTAATTTCCAGTTTAACTCATTAAAGACCCCATCCAGCAGCCACTTAGATGGACTGTGTAGGACAAGGTTTTCTTTCTCTTCTCCTCAACAACACACTGATCCTGATGTTGCAGTCAGATAAATTCACTGGTTTAAATTCAGATGGGGTTTTTTCTAATGCTATACTCAGAGACAAACCTAAATATTCCATGGATAACTTCTTCTATAACTACTTTCACTTGGTGAATTATAGGGAACTGTAATAACACTGCTGATTTAAAACAAGGTCTATAGATTACTTCTTGTGTTACAATGACCATACCAGAGCCTTCAAGTATGTCTTTTGGGGTTAGGGTAATGGGGAACACAATAGTTTACAATGAAGTCTAACAAACAAGGGTATGTTAATCTTTTCAGCCACTTAAAACCAGGAAAATCAAAAGCAAATGTCTTCCTATCGTAGCATCACAAAAACCAAACTCAAATACTTGCATTTTAATGCCTGATGGGATGTTTTCTGCTAACCTTCCATTAGATTTCTTACAGTACTCAGTACACACATATTCTTCCACAGGCTGGACTGATTTCTTCCCCAGTTTAACTTGTTTTTGCCAAAGTCTCTTTTAGCTCAGCACTGGCTGCCTGCCTAATGAAACAACCTTTCTTTATGCCAAAACTGTCATCTTCAGTTGCACAAGACGCATCTTACTTACAAACATGCATAATGAGCCCAATGTTTTATGCCTGAAGAACTGCTATTTTAAAATGACCTCTACAAAAGCTTAAACAGATACAGAAGTAGTCAGTACCTAACCGTGGTGAGGGGGAAGTCCTTTGCAAGACAGATGTTTTTCTTTTGCATTTAAATACACCTTTGAAAATGAAAAACCTAAACTATTAGAGGATGGAAGTGTATGCATTTAACAACAGACAGCAGTGAGAAATGTGAAGCTTACTCCAAACCCAAAGCTGAAAGCTCCATTCTCACTCAGTGTGAAGTCATCATACATAATGATCACATGCACTATCAATTTACTGAAAAGACTAACCTTTAAATATAAGTGATAATACTTGATGTATTATCTTGACCTGATATACTAGACTTACATTATCAAGTATAAATGCTTAATATAAGTTATCCAGTATTCCTAATGACTGACGAAAATCCATCTAAATAAACCCATTGCTTTATTTTTCCGCTGTAATTTCAGTCACAGCTGAAACAAGAATACCTGTGTAAGAAGTTGTTCTTCAGTCAGACTATTGATCCAACGAGTATACCGTTCAGTAGACTCCGGTGGCTCTCTTCTGATTTGGCAACCAACAATCTAAAGCAAACAGCAACAAAACAAGATCATAAAATAAGCATTCAAAACACAGGAACTCCAAGAGTTAAGATTATCTATACAGTCCATATTAGCCCTCTTCTATGTTTATAATACAATATAATATAATGTAGTATAATACAGCACAGTTGCTCTGCTCAAACATTAAGTAGCTACAGACTTTCAAAGATCCAGACATTCAGAATGCAAAATATGAATTTTAATATTCTTAACATCTACTGGCATAATAAATGGCTTCCAATATGCATAAAACAGAATGAGAAAGGGATTTCATACTATCTGTAACTGCACAGACACATATTAATGCAATTTCATACAAACGCAAAATGTTTACTCAACAAGTCTCTGGTTAGACAAGGAAGAAGCCAAGGACAACTGGAGGAATGTGACTACACAGAACTCTGCTACTTGCTACTCCTGATGGTCTGCAATCTATCCTAAACCTTCAGGGTAGTACAGGATTCAGTTACACATGCAAAGTAAGCTGATACTGTTTTATACCAACTAATGTACTCCTCTAACTGTCTATTTCTCTTTCAGACTTTGATGAGTACTTCCTGTTGAGGATATGTTCATTCACTGAGATTTAACACCAAAAGGTAGGCATTAGCATTTCTGAACAAGAATTTGAGAGAATGAAAATCTACTCAAGAAGGCTGTGGAAAACTTATTTGGTTTATTTTCCACCCTAAGCATTCATAAGTAATGTAAATGTACACACTGAGCACAGCAAGTTTAAATCTTTCAGGTATCTCTATTTACAGAGCTTTAAACCCCGCACAGATGTAAGCAGTCAGGCTAGAATTCTGCACGTGCAGTTATGAATACTTTTGATGTGGTAACAAAAACACCATGAAGAGATCTTGCTGGGCGACTGCTGGCAATGAAACATCACAATTTAGAGTTTGATTAAATACAATCAAAATACAGGACATGTAAAAAAAGAAACCATGATTTGCTCATCCTAAAGAACAAAAAAAATATCTCTAACTATGAAATTTCTCCTCCATGAGAACTATGAATTACTATGAATAACTTCAATCCTCATACTGACTTTCTGCTGAATTAGAGTTAAGTAATACTAAGACATTCTCAGAAACTGAAACCAGAATTGCTTTAAACTTAGTATCATTTGTAAAGAAGGCATGCCACAGACACAAAAACTTCACAGAAGTCATGTCAATGTACATATATCCTGTTCTGTGAGGATGATTTTTATTTAAGAGAACTATATACAGAAATCGTTAGTCTTCATTAACCAAGGCCTCTTTAACCTTCTCTTGCATGTTCTAGGTTTCTATAACTTACAAAGACACTTTACAAAATGATGCACAAAAGTCCAAATGTGAAAATTACACAGCACTTCTTTCTCAAAAGCTATTCCATAACAATACAATATAGAACAGATTCTTTATTCAAATAGTCACAGCCTAAGCTGAACACAGAATCAGAAACAGCTTTCACAAGGTAATAGAGAAAAAAGCCATTTTCAATTAGAGCCAAGTAGTAAGTGCAGTCGTCTCTTTCTATGCAACTTGACATTGAAATGAGAAATAGATGGAGTTTCTTATTTTTATATTAATTTCTGACCAATCTGACCATTTTCACAAAGCTATTGACAGTTTATGCAATCTAAAAAAGATGCGGAATCCAGGTGCTCAGCTAAAGGACTGCAGTTCCCTAAAGCCCACAGAACAATTGGTTCAAATCTCAACTCCTTATGCTTCCAGAGAAAACCCAATGGAGTTGATCAATTATCTGTCCATCCACTCAAGGAGAGGTGAAGCCAGACAGAATAACTGCTATTCAGTTGGGTCCTGAGAGCTCTTTTCTGTAACATCCATCACTTCCTGTAACCTCCAGAATTGGACTTAGACTCTTAGCCAGCATTTCCACCTCTTCCCATATAGCCGTATAGACTATTCCATGCTCCAATTTACTTCTCTGAATTTTGTCTTGTAAAAATGATTCTGTATTTATTGTATGTAGGTCTTGAAGTACTTTCAGGCTTTTGGAATTGAAACCACTATAATTAGGAAAAAAGTACTCATCAAATAAAAAAAGGTGATTTAGGAATTACTATTATTGCACTGATCTAAATCCAGAACAGAAAAAAAACAATGGGTTACATTGAATTTCACCATAATTTGGGACAGAACCCTTGTTAGCATAACTTTCCAAACTCCTTCACCAACTGACATGCCTTACAGCAAGACAGAGTGAGAGCATAACAATCTAGAGCCTCATAGACAAACACACTGATCAAATACAAAAATAGGTTTTAAAAAGAGCCTCTTTTGTACACAGCAATTTTTATTTCTACAGCAGGGCTCAAACTAACATTTAGAACAATGGTAAAACCAGTATAAGATATTCACACAGGAAAAAATAAAAAGATGCACTTTTTTTTATATATAAAGAAATAAAGAAGAAAATGACAGGATTAGCCTCTGATTTAAGAACGTGAGAATAGCTCAATGTTTCAAGAAACAACTTACATTTTTTTACCTAGTCCAATGAATAATCACGAGGGCAACCCTTCTATTGTTGCAATTCAAAGTCTCTTTAGCAGCACACTGAACACCTAAAGGTTCATGGCATCAAGCTGAAATGTTGTTTTATTGGAATTGATGGCAAAAGGTTGTTGTTTAAACCCATCTCCAGAGCAAAGCATTTCTCTTCCATGACCAAACAGGACACAGTTGGTGACTCCTGGTCCTTGAAACCTCCATTCTGCAACCCCTAGCAAAGTGTTATGATGCTCTACTCTAACATCAATGAACACTAAAAAGGAAGAAGAATAAAACCAGTGCTGAGAATTAATGTGAGAAAAGGCTGCTTTCTGGAAAAATGCAGACAATGCAAAATGGAACTTAGAGAAACACTGAGACTCCACGTGCATACTAATGTCCTCATTCCTCTATTTAGCATCTCATACCTTCTCCCTGGTACCTTTGTCTATTTTTATTCTTTTCTGGTCTGAGCTCAGCAGGCAGGCATTACTGACAAATGAAATGGCTCCAATGAAGTTAATATGAAGATGAGGTTAAGATTTCACTCTAATTTGGTTTTTTTTTTACACACTGAATAGGCAAGCATATTATCTAGACAATTAAATATCATAATATACTTAGCAATCCTATACTTGTTTCATATATGGAATTAAAGGAAGACAGAGAGGAAGAGTGGGATTAATACATTTACAACTTTACTAAAACATCTTCCATAGTGGTGGCTTTAAATTTTGGTTTTCTTATGATTACCTGAATATGCTATCTACAGACTTTATTTATCCACAGACCTTATTTTATTTATCTAACTACAGCATTTTTTTTCTGAAGACTTTCTAATTATTCCTAAAATCTATTCTTTCACAAGCAATTTGAACTGCTCTCTTCATTCCTCTTCCTCACCTGAAAACCAAACCCACAACAACCACCTGGTAATTCATTTCTCTAGAAGCAAAGGAACACAGAACCATAGGTGATGTTCTTAGTGGTCTTTTGTAAGGCTTCCACAGATGGACCAAACTCAAGAGCAGGGCACATAAAAGCAAGGATCTCCCTCCTGCAGAAGATGGTATCCTAAAAAATCATTTAACCACATTCTTTACTTAGAATGATTATCACAGCAAAACAAACTGAAGAGTAGAATTGTGTGTTACTGAAACAGCTGCAACACCCCAGAAATAGAACTACAAAGTTCTATTAAAAGTTAATACTTTGTAAGTGAAATATTCACACTTCCCTCTATGCTAACAGCAAAATGGTTTGCACAGTGCACAGACACCCTTGCTTACTTTTCATTTTCAGAACCAACACCACTCCAGACTGCTTTAGCATCATCTTCAGAGACATGTCTTACAGACAAAGCTTAACACTGTCATTATGCAACTTAGATGCTCAGCCAAAAAAATTCCACACCCTTCCGCTCTTTGGCTGTACCATTCCTCTCCCAATGGGACTCTGACTCATGGCTGGGATTCTTAACTTATATGGTTGCAAGATAAACATCACCAGTGTAGAGTAACTGTACCTGAGCCTTTGACAGAACTTCTGTAAAGCACAGCTCATTTAACCAGCTTATTTCATCCAATCAAACCCAGGATCATTTAGAGTACGAACAGCTTCCTCCAGTTCCCCTGTGTAAGGTGGGGCATCAGAAGCAAGTGCACACCGTTTCCTACTTCTTTCATGTCTCACAGAGCTTTTATAGTCACTTAACTATTTCCTTATAGCTTTTAAATTGAAGTGAAAGGTTATTTTACTGTTGCTTCTTTCATAAGCTTTAAAATATTTTGATAAAAGCCTTTCTGACCTATTTTATAACCATTCAAACTTCCAGAAGATACAAGAAACTCTCCATATTAGAAATATGTGTAGCAGCAACATCAGTCATCTGCTCCCATGCTGTAATTTGTTCCAACTTTTCACTAGTGTTTGATTTTAAATGCGATATTCAGGTAAAGATACTTCTTATATTCATAATTGTAGGGGGTTATGTTTTCCCTTGCACAGATTAATGGAAAAGGAAGTGGGTGAGAGGAAGCAAAGATTAAATGAGTTGACAGTAACTAAAACCCATGAAAAACAATGCTTTCTGCAGATGTGGCTTTTTGGGGTCTGGTTTTGTGTTTTAATCACTAAAACTTCCTCTAGCAAGAATCTTTCTCATTCAGGAGACAGCCTATGGGGCGGAACCCTCCTGTTGTTCTAAAAAGGAAATGAAGATGAAAACTTAACTGGTCTCCAATCATGATATTGAAGCAGGTATTGGAAAATTCTGCATTTTCAGCAAGGAAAACCCCACATCTTTCCTTTACAAAATAAATTGCTTTCCTCAACTTACAATATTAAATGAAATGCGACTTTCAAATGTTCTATAAAGTACAAAGCTTTCTACACACTGGGGAGGAGTGTGCAGTGTCGAGTTGCATCTCAGAAGTGACATAAACCTCCTGGAAGGGAATGTTATTAACTACA